GGGTGGGGGATCCTCGCCCACCAAGCTCAGAAACCAGCGATCCCACGATCTGCCCCACACCTCCTCTTTCCTTAAGAAGAGGTGGGCTGGGGGATCCTCGCTCACCAAGCTCAGAAACCAGCGATCCCACGATCTGCCCCACACCTCCTCTTTCCTTAAGAAGAGGTGGGCTGGGGGATCCTCGCTCACCAAGCTCAGAAACCAGTGATCCCACGATCTGCCCCACACCTCCTCTTTCCTTAAGAGAAGGTGGGGTGAGGGATCCTCGTTCACCAAGCTCAGAAAACAGGGATCCCACTATCTCCCACTTCTCCTCTTTCTCCCTCTCGTTCTCTTTGGGGGGGGAGGAGGAGAAAGGACAAAAAGGAGAAAGTGGGAGAAATGGCTGCAGGGAGATCGGCGCCCAAGAGAAGCGGGCAAAAAAAAAAAAGAAAAACCTTCCGATGGCTGAGCCTCTTGGCCCGGGACCGAGCCTCCTCCTCGCCACGCTGCCTGCAGAAGAACAGTGTGCGTCAGCGCGCGCACGCACAGGAGGGGAGGAAGCCGAGCGGAGAGAGGGAAACCACTGCTCTCTAAAGGCCACATCGGGAACGGTACTTCAGAGAAATAAAAACTTTTTTTTTAACAGCGTCCTTTTTAAAATTGTTTTCTTTCTTTTGGAAAATCGGGACTTTTTGAACACGCTGCAGGACATGGGACAAATTATTAAAAATCGTGACTGTCCCGTCGAAAGCGGGACGTCTGGTCACCTTACCCATAGGGCCATTTGTTTTCGTTCCGGAGGCTTCAGGGAAGCTCCTGAAGCCTCCAGAGGGCCTCCGGGGGCGGCGAGGGAGACTCTTTTCGCCCTTCCCAGGCTCCTATAGAGCCTCTGGAGCCTGGGGAGAGTGAAAAATGCCTTTAAAAATGGCTGAACTCAGCTGGCCAGCACATGCATGCACGCTGGCCAGTTGACAGGACAACGCTTCACGTGCCCTGACAAATGGCTCCACATGCCACCTATGCCATGCGTGCCATAGGTTCACCATCCTGGGTATAAAGTGTACAGGGTACTGATTTGGTCTGTCAGTCATTAAAGTTCTTGATATTCTTTTTGATTAAATCCATGAAATTTATGGATTTTATCTGTTTTCTCCCCAGGATTCAGCCAAATGCTGGAAAAAGGTAAACAAACCATTCATTTCTACTCTAACTCCCAGGTGTGGGCTTAAAAATAAATTTCCACTGCTGTGCTTTACTGCAATAATATTTGCCTACCTGACAGAAAATAGGATGTTGTTATTTAACTTTATCACTGCTGGTCTTTTTCTCTGCATTGCATTATTTACTTTCCAGATAATCAATAGCAATAGCACTTAGACTTATACACCGCTTCATAGTGCTTTACAGCCCTCTCTAAGCAGTTTTACAGAGTATTGCCCCCAACAATCTGGGTCCTCATTTTACCCCCTCGGAAGGATGGAAGGATGAGTCAACCTTGAGCCTGGTGAGATTTGGCATGCCAAATTGCAGGCAGCCAGCAGGCAGAGAAGTAGCCTCCAGTACTGCACTCTAACCACTGTCCCACCGTGGCTCTTTAGAAGTATTCTAGATCAGTATTGTCTGTGGATTAGCAGTTATGAATTTATGTGGGCATTTGTGGGCAATGAATGCATCTTGCTACAGCACAAGCTGAGATGGCTGATCAGTTTGGGCATGATTTTTTCCTCCTTTATATAACATCAGGGCTTCATTTGTCATGTTTTCTCATATGTGGCCATACGTGCCAGTATGCCTCTGATTGAGGGGTGGGGTGGGGGCAGAACAAAAAGCATGGGTAGGGGAGGCATCCTGATGTTTCTCTTCTTTCCAGGCAAGACCACACAATTGTGGACACGGTGCTCCCAGCTCCCCGCTCGGCCAGGAACGAAATTATCAAAGTAACAGAGAAGCACGTCTCGCAAGGAGCTTTCCATGAATTAAAAGTGTCACCTGGTTACTACACTGTAATTGCAGACCAAGGTAGGGGCCTCCTCCTCTTCCTCCTCCTCCTCCTTCTCCTCCTCCTCCTCCTCCTTTTTTGTTTTATCGTCTAAGCTGCTCCATTTCAGACCGATTGTGGGGTGGGTGGAGCCTTCTGTGATGGAATGCTTCTCCATACAAAGTTTTCTCTCTGTAAGGCAGGGGTGTCAAACTTGATTTCATTGAGGGTTGTGTTTGATCTTGGAGTGAGGGGGTCAGGGGGCATGGCCAGATTGACATCACTTGTGTCAGTTCCTGAGGTGGCTCAAGCGCTCTGCCAGCGAAAATGGGCTTCTGAGCTCCGTTTTCGGCTGCCACTGCATCCTGCAACCATTGCCAGTAAAAACCAAGGAGGGTAGGAGCCCATTTTTGCTGGCAGAAGCACCACAGGACAGTCCTTCGTTGCTTCCAGGGCAGCCCCGCAGGCCAGATCTAAATACCCCATGGGCTGGATGTGGCCCTCGGGCCTTGAGTTTGACACTCCTGCTGCAAGGGAATGAGTCTGAGAGCTTTTGGGAGGAACACGTCTTATTTCATACATGGCAAAGTTCTTGTTTTTATACTATAGTCAGCAGTGAAACAGATAGTCCTCAACTTACGATCACAATTGAACTCCAAATGTCCATTGCTAAGCAAGACAATTGTTAATTTTGCCCCATTTAACAACCTACCTTTTCACAGTGGTTAAGTGAATCACTGCACTTGTTAAGTTGGTGACGTGGCTATTAAGTTAATCTGGCTTCCTCATTGACTTTGCTTGTCAGAAGGTTGCAAAAGGTGACCACCATAACCCCAGGACACCACAACCATCATAAATATGAGTCAGTTTGCCAAACATACCAAATTTTGATCATGTGACCATGGGGTTACTACAACAATCATAAGAGTGAAAACAGTCATAACTCACTTTTTTCAGTATCATTGCACGGTTAACTTCCAACAGTCACCAAATGAATGGTTGTAAGTTGAGGAGTATCTGTACAGCCTAATGCAGACTGACGATTGCACTAAAGGCTAGGGCTGACTCCAGAAACAAGACTCTGCCGTTTTTAGTCACATGACACTGTGGACCTATTCTATTTACCTTTCCTGAATAAATATTCAGTGACAGACTAAATGTCAAGGTAAATCCAAGTGGTGGCCAGCAGTGGTGGGATTCAAAATTTTTACTACCGGTTCTGTGGGCGTGGCTTGGTGGGTGTGGCATGGCTTGGTGGCATGGCAGGGGAAGGATACTGCAAAATCCCCACTCCCACCCCACCCCACTAACCTGCTTTCCAGGTTTTCTGTTCTCCTGTGCAGGGCAACAAAAGACGACCCAGCCGATCAGCTGGGGCTCGGGAGGTAGCAAATAGATCAGGGGCAGGGGCAGCCAGAGGTGGTATTTGCCGGTTCTCCTAACTACTGAAACTTTCCGCTAATCTGCAGACTAAACGTTGTTCGTTAGAACCGGTCAGCACCGTCTGAATACCACATCTGCTGGCCAGCATGACTAACATGAGAAATACTAGGAACTGCAATTCAGCAACATCTAGGAAAATGAATGTTGCCCACCACTGGAATAAATGATGAGGTGCAAATTCAGGAAGATATTGCTATCTGGACCTCTCCTATATTATGTAGGAAGACAGAGTAACTATATGTAGTAAGAATCCAAGGGCTCATTTTATAAGCACGCTTTCCAATTGTGAACTTATCCTCCTTTCTTTTCTTTGCCTCCATCTACCCCCAGATGCCCATGGCATGATTGAGTTTCAGGAAGGGGTAGAGATGGTGGATGTTCGGGTTCCCCTCTTCATCAGGGAAGAGGATGATGATGAAAAACAGCTGCAAGTAGAGGCTGTTGATGTTCCTGTGGGCACTGCGGAAATTCGTCGTCACCAGGTCAACATCACCATAATAAAAGAGCAAGGTAGTATGATAGTCTGCACTGGGGAGGACAAATATTTGTCATACAATCACTTCTGGCTGGTCCTTCTGTAGTTTATTTGCCATAGTTAAATGTAGCTTGTTCCTGAAAAAGGATTTTGTTCTAATGGGCAGTCAGAAAACTTTCTGTTTTCTGAAAAATCAGATGTATTATCTATATATTATAGACAAGAGATGGAAGAACTCCTTTTGTGACACTTAGAGCACCCTCAAACTCCTCAAAGCACACCCTGAAACGGAAAGTTCAAAAGTTGGGATAAATGGATTAGGGAAACTTTAAAAAGTAGAATTAATGTTCTAAGCCTTGCAAATATTTAAGGCATTAATTTCATATTTAAAATTTTTCCCAATTCTTCCCCAATGTCAAGCTGATTTCTGCCATAAGTGGATCTAGGAGCAAAACCGGTACTTGCAAGCCTTAAATGAGGTCACAGATCATCATTATAGCTATATGAAAAGAGTAGATCTGCCTCCAGTAATTTCCACTTTTCTATGGTAACAGATGTTTATGGAATACTAAATCTCATATTCATTTAGGGAGGAATGAAAATGGTGAGGAACATAGCAAAATCCAGAGGTTTTCCAATCTAGATGGTAGGCACGCACATATCTGTTAATATTAGGGATGCCAGTAAAAAAAAAAAATCTGAACTTGGCTGCCAACCTAGGCCATGCAGAGCATCAAGAAACTAGTTGGAGGAATATTAAAGTGTGTGGGGTCCTTGATGCCCCCTCAGCTTGCTTGTGTGTGTCTGTAATCATGAGCCATATCATTTTTTGCCCAGTGTCTTGGGCTATTTTCCATCCATGTGTGCAGTTGATTGGAGGTTTGTACCTGATACTGATAGGTAGGGCATGCTGTCATAAGCATTCATGTAGAAAGAAAAGTTGTTCTTTGGTGGAAGTGTGCTTACAGACAATTTTTTTCCTACAAAATTTTCCTAAATTTTTCCAAGCAAGCTCAGAGAGGACCGAGGACCTCTCATTTCAACCCTGAGCTACAAATATTCTCCTTTATTAATATTGAAGTGTAGATCTTGTTCTCTAGCTTAGAAATGGGGGAAATAAGTAATATTTCCTGCTTGCTAATGTAATCATATGTCAGAATAGTGCCTAGATGAAACCATTATTTTACAGTATTAGATGATTAAGATTGTTAACATATTATCTGTGTATCTCTTTAGCAAATAGCATCATTAGCTTCCTGGAGCCAGTTTATTCATACAACCGTTTTGACCAGCTGGCTAAGATCCCTTTGGTTCGAGAAATATTGGAGAAGGGAAAATCCCAGATATCATACAGGACACGAGATCTCACAGCTCAGCAAGGCAAAGTAAGCACTCTGTGAAAACCAGAAGAATTCTCATAACTGTTCCACAAAAACTTTTGGCCACTACATGGTCATATGGTAGCCCTGTGGATAACAGAGGGAATATGAGCCATGGTGGCGCCGTGGTTAGAATGCAGTACTGCAGGCTACTTCTGCTGACTGCCGGCTGCCTGCAATTTGGCAATTCAGATCACACCAGGCTCAATGTTGACTCAGCCTCCCATCCTTCCGAGGTGGGTAAAATGAGGACCCAGATTGTTGCGGGCAATAGGCTGACTCTGTAAACAGCTTAGAGAGGGCTGTAAAGCACTGTAAAGCGGTATATAAGTCTGTGCTATTGCATTCCTACCATATTAGACCAGCTCTGTGCCCCTACATTGGTTGCCAACAGGCTTTTGGATGTTCTGGTACTAACCTATCACATGGCTTGGCAGAACCACATTTTCCCACTGAAATTAGCCTGGCCAGTTTGCTATGCCTGAGAAAACTTAATAATGTTCCCCTTTTAGGGAATTGAAGGAGGCTGAAACTCAGCAGTTGTTCTTTGCGAAAGCTGGGATGGTACTTTGAAACAACCTCCCACTGGGGGGTCTGTTGGCTCCAGCCCTAATCACCCAGAGCTCTTCTAGAGGACTCTTGGATCTTGACTCCTTGGTTTGCTTATAGCTTAGTTAATTTGACATGACATGGTTTTCCATTAGTCTTTCTAGACTTTTTGTTTACTGTATTGTACATTGTTTGTTATGTAACATCTTTCCGTTGCTGGGATTCCTTAGGGGTTTGGCTGGTTATGTGAGTTAAAGGATAGTTTGATAATAATAATGGGAAAATCCCTGAATAAACCAGCAGATCTTACAACATAAATCTGTAGACTAAATGTTGTTTACTAAAACGTACGCCTTTGGTGTTTTTGCTTTTTCTTTGGGATTTTTGTTTGTTTGTCTGTTTAGTTTGGGGCACAATTCTAATTGAGACCTATGTATTCAGAGGAAGGAGTTTGTACAGGGGAAGTCTTGAAAAGAAAACACCTTCCATGCCTGCCAATTCAATTTTTAAGCTTCAGTGGAGCAGAGGGCACAGTAATTTTGTGAAGGAAGAGGCTGGGAAGAAAGGTTAAAAAGTCCTCTGGAACAATGGTTTGTGTTAGAGAGAAGTTATACAGTAAGCATTTCACCTCTTCTGTACTTGAGATTTTACATCATCTTCTTTCTATAGCCAAAGGAGGAGAGGAAGAGAAACAAACTAGGAATAAGAAGTTGCTGGTGCTGCTTTCAGTCCATTATCAGCCCTGTGGACCCAAGGCCACCGAACCTCTTATTTCTTTGTATTTTTAAAATATGTACCTGTATATTATATGGCTCAAGGTGCTCTGGGTGGTGCCTTTGGATCAGAATATGGATGATTCAATACTTTAATGTAAAAAATATAGTACCTTGTTCAGTGTATTCTCTCTTTACCTTTCCAGGATTATGTTTTTGCGGAGGGTGATCTGATCTTCCTGCCTGGAGAGAAGCAGAAGGAAGTGCAAATCAAATTGATAGAGTTGACAGAGATTGATGCCCTCCTTCAGAACCAGCAGCTGAAACAATTTGCAGTGGATCTCATCAATCCCAGATTTGGGGCAAAGGTTGGCAAATACCCTCAAACCATCGTGACAATTGTTGATCCAGGTGAGCTACATTTATTTCCAATGACAATTCTCATTTTGATGCTTAAATATCATTTGTCTGTGGTGCTGTATTGTAGAGACGTTGAAACTTCTTGATTCCCTAGGCTCTGGCAGATGGAACCACCGAGACTTCAGTATTTAGGATCAACAAAATTAATAAAATGTGATTCCCATAAAATATATGCTCATTCATAAGCTAGCAGTGTGGTCATTAAAAAGTCAAATCCCATTTGTTCAATGTTGCTTTGAGTTTCAGCCAGAGGTGTTGTGTCATGTATGTCCTGTCATAATTGTGAGTGTTTTAATGATATTCCTTTAGCCATTGTTTGATGTGGTCATTGGGATACAATTAGAGAAATAATTTTGCTAATGAAATCCTATAAAACTGTAACTAATTTGTTGTAACAATTTTTATAATTATTTGTTTTATTTTTACTTTGCATAGTTTATGTAAATGAATGATATATCATATAGTATAGTATAGTACAGTATAGTATGACCAATATTACCTTGCAACAGATTTCTGCAATACAGTATTTCTGTGCATCATTTTATGATTCCAATCAATTCTTCGCTGTGCCAAATAACTTGCCTAACCTTCCTTATAATGATACAGGATACACATATTTCATCTTCAAAACATATAGTGAGATGTATTTTTCTTCTGTGAACTATGTTGTTTCTGTGAAAACAGTCTCCGAATGTTAAATATTGTGCAAAAAGTGGAAAAAAACTAGCAACAGCCTTTTATCAGGCAAAATAGAATATCTAGTATCCCTGAGAGCAGTGGTGGGTTTCAAAATTTTTTAGAACCTCTTCTGTAGGTGTGGCCTGCTTTGTAGGAGTGGCTTGCCGGCCATGTGTGGGTGGGAGTGGCTTACCGGCCATGTGACTGGGTGGGCGTGGCCAACTTGTAAAATATGGTGAAACTCACTTAACAACACTCTTGCTTAAAAACCAAAATGTTGGCTCAGAAACTCTGGCATTTGAAGCACGCAAGTTTTAAAGCTGTCAAGTTACAAGACCCTTGCACTCCTAACCCTTTAGAAAAAAAAAACCAGGGGTGTTCAAACTTGACAGCTTTAAGACTTGTGGACTTCAACTCCCAGAATTCCTCCTCTCGCTCTTCATCTTGATGATGTGTGGACGGGCGGGGGGAGGGAACTGGAACCGGTTCTAAACGGCACTGTAGATTTGTGGAACCTCTTCTATAGAAGAGGTTAGAACTGGCAGGAACCCACTCCTGCCTGAGAGATATTAGCCGAGAATGTGGCCTGTGTTTAATACCACTTATCTCTTATTATCCCAAGTTTCTTCTAAAGAAGTTTTTTCCACCACTTAAAGATGTGTGAAGTAACTGTTGTGCCTCTCCCAGTTTATGACATGTCTTAATCCTTTATCATTTGACTTGGATTTTTTTAGTTGCTTACAAAGTAGTGTAATTTGCTCTACCTTTTTTCTCCTTCCAGAAGCTGTGGCATCAGAGATTCAGCTTCCATATTCCCCTAGAGGCATTCTTGCAGCACCTCTTAATCCAAATTCACAGGCCTTAAGCTCTAGAAAGATACGCTTCAATTGGTTGCCCCCACCAGGCAAACCAGCAGGATACAAGGTATAGAAAGTAAAGCACTAAAGACATGTGAGACTGTTGTGTATGGAGGGAAGCATACTCTTGCTTGTCCCATGCGCATGAAATGGGACTCCTGAAAGGCTCATGAAAAAAACTGTGCAAGCAAGGAAAATACATTTAGGATTTGCTTTCTAAAGTTTTTGCCAATAAGTATTGCAAATCTGTTGGAATACAAAGGAAGGGAAAGTCAGAAATTAACTATACAATTTACTATTTAGCATTAGCATTAACTATACAATTTCAGTAATTATACATCTATTTATAGATTTTAACTTCTTTGAAAATACATCTTTAATTTTTAAAAAAGCAAAAGAGCCCCTGCATTGCATTTTGAAGATTTTATTCATTTGCATTGCTTACACTCATTGAATCAGAATTCAGTTTTCCAAATATTAATAAATGAATGTCTTTCCTGATGCATAAGGGAACAATCCTCATTCATTACCTTTTGAAAACCTGAATAAAAATAACATCTTGTAAAACTATGGCACTGCATTGCAGAGTTCTGCCCATATTTTGTTCATTTAGGGATAGTAACGTTTGTGAATGAGAATTTTCCCTGTTTATTTTTTAATGATGTGATGGTAAATACTTCTTGGCTACTCATGCAAATTTTTAAAAGGGAAAGTCTTTCTCTTTGGACTGCAGGTGAAATATTGGATCCAAGGAGACCCTGAATCAGAGGCTCATCTGTTTGATTCCAAAGTACCTTCGGCAGAGTTGACCAACCTGTACCCCTATTGTGATTATGAAATGCAAGCCTGTGCCTATAATGCTTTGGGGGAAGGGCTTTATTCTAAGGTGATCCACTGTCGAACACTTGAGGAAGGTAAGGTTGCATCCCACGGAGTTTGACAGAAAAAAAATGCGCCATCTAAGGTTTCCTTTCTGCAAGCCTAATCCATCAAGCATCAGCATATTCATGAATCATATTCAGATGAACTGGCTAGAGACAAAGCAAGGCACTGGTTGGGGAGATTATGTTGAAGCAGCCTGAGTTTCAAATTAGAGTTAGAATCTGATTATTTCTGCCCATCCAGCTACTTCAGGCAGAGGAAGCATGTTCCCAGTTCCTGACAATGAAACAGTGTCACCTTTGGGATCTAGGAACTAGGCTGTTACAGTACTTACCCTCTGGAATGTCATCACCCCCAGAGACCCTTATGGCTCTCATCCAAATAGCAATAGCACTTAGACTTATATGCCACTTCACAATGCTTTTACAGGCCTCTCTAAGCGGTTTTACAGAGTCAGCCTATTGCCCCCAACAATCTGGGTCCTCATTTTACCAACCTTGG